CTCCACCCTGATGCCCGACACTCGTGGAAACCAGTACCTTACACGTCTGAGAGATTGTGCTGTGGCCATCACAGCTTTCTCATCCACTCATGCAGTAAACTTTTATGGAAAGCCTAGAGTGCACGCTCTGCTTCATAGACCACACTGCATCCTAGTTCCAGGAGTGAATATGGTTTTCAAAGAGATTCGTGTAGAATTTGATGATAGTTTTCATGCGTCTTTTCTTCATTTTCAGACCAGGAAAATTTAGAGAGTGTAGAAATATATGAGTTATGTATGACTGGTGATCTTTAAATTTGGTGTCAGAGTTATCTTCAAAGGGAAATGTATTCCCATAAGTGATTTCTTGTTATCAGTATCTTCAGTCATCCCCCAGTACCCATGAATTAATATTTGTAAAATGACCAAGTCACTGGGGGCATGAGAAGGCTGATAAATGCCATTTCCAGGGGGGACTGTCCATCAGGCACAGAGGCCTGAGCACCAGCTATATACTGCTACCACAGTGGCTGCTCAGTCTAACTCTGTGACATCGGGGATTATCTCCAGTGAAAGGGTGATCTCAATTTCTCCCCTTAGAAAATATTTTGGGAAGTGAAATGGAAACAAGAGTTACAGAGCAGTAATTCCGGAAATAGTACAGGTTGGGATGGACTGAATCAAGGGCTGGGAGCCTTTTCTGTTTGGTATAGTTCACATTTAGGGTCTGGGTTCTTTGCTGATACTTCAGATTTGTTTCTCCTTCTTAGTTTGAATTCCCAAATACATCCTTTTTTCCTATCACAAAATGCATAACAGGAAACCAGTTTCTGATGAGTGATTTAGTGGAAAGGTGGTTTACAAAGAGATTTCTTCACTCATTTCCTCTTACACGGAATTATGATTACTCAGGAAGGCTGGAAGCCGACACGGGAAGACTGGTTGGGAGGAAACCTTCCTAAAGGACACGGTGCTTCTCTGGGGACCCACTCGCTGTGAAGCAGCTCGTGACAGACAAGCACAGACCTCCAAGTGGAGGTTCCCAACACCTGTGCTTGCTGTGAAATGAGACTTTCAGCTGAGTTTCTAATTCTGAGCTTTAAAGCAGCACAATTCTTTCCCCCCACCCCCAAAGAGAGTCTTCTCAGAACTTCACAGCTTAAAAAATTTGAAAGCAGAGCTGCTTCTGGTTGGAGTTCATCTTCCCCACCCTGAGCAGCCCTGTTCCCTACGGGTGCTGGAAACCGCACAGCTCTCAGGCATCCTGTTTAAACACTAGGGTTCAGGATCATTAATATTTATTTGTTGCTTATTATATTTTAAGCCAGTTTGGGGTTGTAACATGCAGTTACCTTGAAAGGCAGTATTTATGGAAGTTTGATTCTTCCAAATTTACGATTTCTGATTTTTCTTCATTTCACACCCTAGAGTTTTACACTGGATCAGCTTCTCACCGTTCCTAGGCCCAGAAATCAAGCCATAACTGCGTTTGGTCAGTTGTACATACTGGAAGAAGCAGCCCATTAGAGCAGAAGCCATCTGCCCTTGCTAGATCCCCACACTGGGGCACAGGTGTGCTAGGGGCTTGCAGTGTGGATGGTTGCAAGGGAATCATTTCTGAATCCTCGTAGTCCAGTTTCAGGGAACTCAATTTCTGGATTCTTCTTCCTAAAATTGATTCACCTGATAATATATTTGTATTCCCAGTAGCACTTACTTCTCCCACTTTACAAAAGAAAAGAATCTCAAATACTACTGTGATAAATGACTCCAGGACACAGCTCAGAAAGGACTGCCCGGGGTCCTGCCTGTGAGCTTCCTGGTTCAGGCGGGGCTGGGCTCTCCGGGAGCGCAATGTGCCATATATACGCTACATCTGGGGATGTGGGGAAGAGCTGATAAAACCTGCCTTCAGGTTTTGCCTTCTTCACCCCCTGACTTCAAAAGGACTCATCTCTCCCAGCTTTATTGAGATATAGCTGATGTTAGTAACATTGTGCAGTTTAAGATGATTGACATGGTGACTTGATGTATGTAAATACTGTGGAATAATCACCACAGTAGGTCAGTAACACATCTGCCACCTCACATAACGCTCTCCTGCGTGTGTGTGCTGAGGAATTTAGCAACCTGCAAGTATGTGATATGGCATTACTAATTATAATCACCTTGTTGTATGTTAGAGCTCCAGAACTAACTCATTTTACACTGGAAGCTTGTACCTTGTGACCAACATCTCCCATTTCCCCCATCCTTCTAGCCCCTGGTAACTGAATATACACTAAGTTTCTATGAGTTGAGCATTTTTAGATTCCACGTAAGTGAGATCAAACAGCAGTTGTCCTCCTCTGTCTGGCTCTTTTTCACTTAGCATAATGCCGTGTAGGTCCATCCATGTTGTTGCAAATGGCAGGATTTCTCTCTTTTTATGGCAAATAATGCTCCATTTACACACACACACACACACACACACACACACACACACACACACATGACTCACCCTTCTAAAGGGAAAGGCCTGTGAGCAAAGGTAGCAGTGGCAAGAGATGGCGAACATGGTGAGTGTGTTACGAGCTAGAAAAAACAGCCAGATGGAATAGGTGTGTGACTCCCGAGGCACAGAGGAGTCGACAGCTTGCCCAGAGTCACGCGTCCTGTCAGTGGGTCACCCAAGGTTTACACTCCAGCAGTCCGGATCCACGGGCAGCATTCTTAACTCATACAATGTGCTGCCTATTTCAACCATATCTTTAAAAACTTACTCATATTACAACCGATCCTAATTTCTTCTGCCTTTGCAAACAACTAACAGCTGGATTCCTTGTGTTTTTTTAAGGTAATCTATGTCTTTTTTCATTAAATACAAAATAAAAGTTGATCATTTCTCTTTTTTTCTCATTAAACTTTAATTCAAAATTCTGTGACAGATTTTTGGTCAAGTTGTTTCCATTAAAAAGTACTGATTTTAAAAATTAGTCATTTTAAACTGCCCCCCACGCACACACACAAAGAACAAGTGGTCCACAAAACATTCACTTTTTACGATCAGTTGATCTTTTACTCTTAAACTTAGATGGCCAGTTGAGACAAACAGTTCTACCATTTGTTAAGAGTGGACAGCAAATAAAAAGTTGATCGTTTCTAACTAAATTAATGGAGTTGTTTCTGAGGTTTTATACTGGATTTCTTTTTTAATTACTATTAAAACTAAGCACAGATTTCTATATAGTACATTATACACATCAATAAAGGGATATGCCTACTTCACAAACAGCTACTTTGTGCTACATACTACAGTGCATTATGATAGGATTGAGGAATCAATTTATTACCTTCTGTTTGTAATTTTTAATAGCGATTCATTAAGTGTTTTGGAGCTCATTCATTTGAATTTAAATATAAAATAAGACTTTTTCTGGCACAAAATAAATCTGCTTTGGCTGCTCTGCCAGTTAAGCTATGATGGACATGTTCAGCAAATTGAGTGACGTCTGCAGTTCATATCCATGATTGAAGAAGCTGAGTTGACAATTGGAACATCATTTAAAATGGATTTTGATCAAACAGTATGTGATTTTTGAAATAAAACCTGTAAGGAGCTCAAAGATTCAAAGGGAGACATTGTGTGATTCCTATGACTTACTTATGGGAAAAGGGTAAAATCAATTCCCAAAACAAAGTGAACCTAATATTAATATTGAGCCCTGACTCTTCCAGTGGTAAGGAACATCTATCCATGGATACGTGAGGTAATTGTGAGGGGAAAGAGCAGCCTGCTCATCTCAGTAAGAAATGCTTTTGAAGTAAATAATGAAATAGTAAAAAATAAAATTTAACATTTGTACTATGTGTTGTGTTAATCACTGTCATGGCATCTGAATCCAGAAGGAAAAGAATGTTAGCCTTTAGAGCCTGGTGGATTTGGTAAGTAAAACAAGTTTCACAGTGTGGTTGTATGCATTTTAATTACAGAGAAGTATTAATAGGGTAATCAATTAAAAGACTTTAGTATTAAAAATATTGTACTAGGGTAAAGCTCTGGGTAAAATGAAATGGAAATAGTTCAAGGAGAGAATGAAGGTAAGTAAATTTTCCAGCTGATAAAAGAACTTTTTTTAATGGATTTGGGCCCATTTTTAAATCTTTAAAATGTAAAATGTGCTAGAATATTTATCCCTTGTAAACATTTAAGCTTACAGTAAAATATTTTTTATATCAACCTGAAAAATATGGGAAGGGGTTTGCATGTATGCTTAGCATTTTCTGGGGGAGAGGACCCTTTCATCAGTGTCTTAAAGGGTGGAGCACGTGAGCCAAGACACGAGCACAAAGGTGAGGTCACTGCTCCGGAGGCATGGTATTGTGCCAGTCTCAGCTCGTTTGGGTCCTCTCTCCAGTACCTACATGTAGATGTATGGAAGGTACAAAAGTATATCTGCTTTTGTTTATTTATTTATTTATATTGATGTATACTTAATACACATTATTATATTGGTTTCAGGTATACGACACAGTGGTTCATCAGTTACCCATGGTATTAAATCCTCAACCCCAGTAACTATATGTCAACATAGGAAGATGTTACAGAATCATTGGCTCTATTCTTCATGCTGCACTACTATACCCATGACCAACTTATGATTGAGAGTTTTTGTGCCCTTTTCTCCCCCTTCCCCTCCCACCCCCACTCCCCCATGGTGACTACCTCACTTCTCAGTATCTGTGAATCTACCTGTTTGGTTCATTGTGCTTTGTTTTGTTCTTAGATTCCACAAATAAGTAAAATCATATGGTACTTGTCTTTCTCCGCCTGGCTTATTTCACTGAACATAATACCCTCCCGCTCCATCCATGGTTGCAAATGGTAGGATTTCTTTCTTCAGAAAATCTCAATAGAATTATAAATTCTTAAGGCAGATCTCTTAGTTCACAAACATCCTTCCCATATGTCTCCATAGAATAATTCTGCCCGCCCTGCGATTGTTTCCAATGTACAAGTGATGGTGCTTTTTCCATTTCAGTTTGAAGGAAGGAAGTACTGTGAACACGATTTTCAGATGCTCTTTGCTCCTTGCTGCCATCAGTGTGGTAAGTGTTACTGCTGAATGCAAACTAAAAAGTAAATTTCAGAATTACTCAAGTTTTTTTAACACTTCTGAAGTATCAGTGACAAAAATGGTTTTGGTGCTCATTATAATGCATCTAATACTTTACAATCCTAGTGGGGACTGTAGCAATATGGGAGCCACTGCCAGCCAGCACATGACAAACTGCAAGAGTATCAAAACCTGGAGAGAACTGGTGTTTCAGGTCACCTGGTGTGAAAGTGTGTGGGGACTAACTAGGACTTCTGTTAGGCGATCTTTGGGAATGTTCTTTACCCCTGTTAATGTAACCTTTACCTACTTGCTTTCGGGTCTGTCAGGAGACAGACAGGGAGGACATCAGTGGGTGCCTGGGGGGTCACTGTGTGTCACCAAGCACTGACCTCCCACCGCAGCCCCTCTGGTTGCTCACAGCTCTGCTAGAAGGTCTCGGGTCGGCAGTGCTGGGCAGAATGTTCTAAGGTTTAATGGCAGACGAGGTTAAGTTTGGGCTACAAGGAAATGCATTGTGGATTTGTTTTCTGTGTCAGTGATGACCAGAGACAGCCAAAAAGGCATTCAGGAGAGCCCCGTCATACATCATTTGGAAAAAGAAAGCCAATTGGGAGCTGGGATAAGACAGCCCAAAAATATGGCCACGGCATCAAAAACAAGGACATAGGTGACACAGAAAACCCTTCTTCTAATGTAGTGCTCAGTGTGGTAGACATACATAAAAAAGTCCCGATTTGCAGAGAAAGGTTTAAAATGTATTTGTTCCTCCTGGGTTTTCCCTTACCGCCTGCAACAGCAAGATGCCCCACTGGGGTCCTTTGTGTGTCCCTATCCTGCAGGTGAGTTCATCATTGGCCGAGTTATCAAAGCCATGAATAACAGCTGGCACCCCAAGTGCTTCCTCTGTGACCTCTGCGACAAAGTGCTAGCAGATATCGGCTTTGTCAAGAATGCCGGGAGGTAGGGGTGTGTGGTCCTCGGGGCCTGGGCTTCCCACCTGCGGCACTGGACACCATGTCCCAGGGGTGGGGACTCCGGGCTGCCCTGCTTGACCTGTCCGCCTGTCAGGACGGGTCCCGGTATTCCCATGCTCCTGGGCAGACAAACAGGGGATCCCACCTTTGGATGGTACTTCTTAAGCCTCGGATCATCTGGGTGGGAGTAAAGAACCTTTCATGTAAAAAGTGGTGCTTGATTCTACTCTCTTAAGCCAGTGATGATTTTTAAAGAAATGGTTTAATTTCTTTTCAGAGATACGGGAAGCATATTTCTTTTTGATTTTTAGGAAGAACCTTAGATTTCAGATTTGTTTCTAAAAAAGTTTTGGCTCTGTTCAGACATCTGTGCCGCTCCTGTCACAATCTTGAAAAAGCCAGAGGCCTGGGAAAATACATCTGCCAGAAATGCCATGCCGTCGTCGACGAGCAGCCTCTGATATTCAAGAACGACCCTTACCATCCGGACCACTTCAACTGTGCCAACTGCGGGTGCTGTGACCTCTTCCTTTGTATTGCACAAGTAACGGAAATAAAAGGCCATGTCCCACTATGATCCGTTACTGGGGGATGACATAAAGAACACCTGCACACCCTTCATTTACTCATCGGTTAAATCTTGACCCACTTGAGTGTGTGTACAGCATGCACTCTCCCTCTGTCGTGTGTGTGTACATGTACATACATGTGTGTACCTACACACACAGCTTTAAATACTCAGTCCATATTAAAATAGCCCATTAACCCAAAATTGTATGTATATGGTTTTCCAATACAGAATTTTAAAAAAGCTTTAAAAAGTCTCATCCTGGTACATGTTTAACTTTTACAGCTCTATTAGAGTGGTATCTTAAATTATGTTTATTTAATTTTGCTTTATTTACATCTGAAGGGAATTGCAGAACTTACATGAAATTGTTAGGCTATGATTTTCTGAATTTTCCAACTAGTATAAAAATTGAGTGAAAAAGATACTTTAATGAATATGAACTGCTAAATTATAGTTGGGGGAGAGTGAAGGCAGATGAGGCAAACTGCGCACGGCGTACGCAGGGCGCCCCTCCCGTTCCATGGCCACCGGTCTGTGCTCATCTCGCGCCTCCTGGCCCTCTGGTGAGAATTCCTTCTGCTCACTTTCCGTTAGCGCTTGTGCAGAATTATTTGAAGCAGATGGAATTCAAACAAGTCCATCTGGCTGAGTGAGCTCATCCCCAGCAAAATGTCCGTTGATACAGGAGACTGAAAATGATGGAGTTAAGCATTTAGAGAAGGGAAATTCTGGGCATTTCATTTGTTACTTTTCTATCAACGCTTGACTATTTTTAACAGCTTGTGACAGTTTAAATAACTGTTAGTAAATGGAACTAGTCTCGGGCTCTGTCATTTTGGAAAGATAGTGTCACTGCATCCGTCCCCAGTGAGGGATTCTCCGTAGCTGTCTAAAGAAGACACCTGGGCTCTAAGGCGACACTAAACAAGGGCATGGTAAATAGGAACAACGCAACTAGATCGCACTCACTCGTATATTTCCTCACTGTTGATGGAGTCTGAAACCCACTCACACCTACTAATTGAGGTTACTCTGAGCACTACTAAGGGGAGAATAAAGTTACAGGGATTGTTAGAGCAGGAACTTCAAAAACCTAACAGTGCACCAACCACATATTTGCGTTTCTCTCGAGGTGGTGTTACTCACGTGGGTGTTTCTCCTGACAGGAAGGAGCTCACTGCTGATGCCCGGGAGCTGAAGGGGGAACTCTACTGCCTGCCATGCCATGATAAAATGGGGGTTCCCATCTGCGGCGCCTGTCGCCGGCCCATTGAAGGGCGTGTGGTCAATGCTATGGGCAAGCAGTGGCATGTGGAGGTGAGTACATGATGGAACAGTGACCAGTTTTGAATAACCGTAATTCAGATGTGCTAACAAGACTAGGAGATTCTGAAGATTAAATACGGACTTTTAAGACATTAGACTGTGTAGAAAATTAGGACTACAGAGTATACATGGCTTTTGTGGTCCCTCAGTAATGCCACAGGACTCGTGCTTCTGTTGTTCGGGCCCCCTGAGGCAGGAAGGGTCATGGTCCACAGCCAGCAGCGGCCCCGCCCTGGAGACGCGCCTACTAGGAGCCCCATTGTCTCCTTCCGCGTTGTTGGACTAGGCTGTGTGTGCAGTAAACCGTCAGGCACAGACGCCTGGATTCAGCAAGACTGAAGAGCTGCGGGGTTACCTACGGCCGAATGAGTAACTGTCTCAGATTTCCATCTGTCTTTTCTGAAGATAGTTTAACTTGCAAATAAAATATGGTGACTCAAAAATGACCTTTAGCAATTTTTTTCAGCATTTTGTTTGTGCCAAGTGTGAAAAACCATTTCTTGGACATCGCCATTATGAAAGGAAGGGCCTGGCATACTGTGAAACCCACTATAACCAGGTACTGATCATACTCATTGGACATGAGATAGACTTTTATGAATTTGAACTTATCAGTATTTTAACTACAAGGAAATCTCTTGTAAAATGCACAGTGAACTGTGAGATTTGTTTTTAACATTTTATTTGGGACAGAATTTGACTCAGAAGAGTAGTAACGTAAAAATACAAAGAACACCTTACGCCTTTCCCTCAGACTCAACATTTGCCTTATTGTTTGCATGTGCTCAGTCTTTCTCTAAAAACACACACTTATCAAATGCACATCTTTATATACAAATGTACATACACATATATACAAATACACATGCTTTTTTTTTTTGAAACATTGACAAGTTCATCATTGTCCTTTATCCCTAAATAGCCCATGTAGATTTCCCAAGAATGTGGAACTCTGTTATGTAACCACAGTTAATTGGGATTGATACAATACTTTCATCTGTTTATTCCAATTTTGTCCTTGACCCACTAATGTCCTTACAGCAAGGTCTCCCTCTAATACTGGATCAGTTCAGGGCTGTCATGTTCCATTAGCCATCTTAAGTCTGCAACATTTCCAGAGCCTTTTTCTATTTTTGATAGTGATGAAAAGTAAATTATTTGCATTGTAAGAAGTAAAAACTAGTCAATGAACTTTTCTTATTTTCTTTAGTAATGCTAAATTCTGGTTTTAATTAGCCAGCTACTTGTTTTTAAGTGGTAGAAAGAACTGAAATTATATTAAGTATTTGGTGTTCTAAAACTTAGTTGTAACACATCTTAACTTTTCCTTTCGTTTTTATTTTCAGCTATTTGGTGATGTTTGTTTCCACTGCAACCGTGTTATAGAGGGTGATGGTAAGTGTCTGTGGGGATTTTATATGGTGCCATTGTGACACAAGAGCACTTGGGTAATATGCAAATTGGAAGAGGCTATGATTGCTATTGATTGGAATGTGATTGTTATCCATTCGTTTTTCTCTTTCTTTGGCATTTTTCCTAAGTAATCTACAGCAGACATGATAACATCCAAAGAGTTGTATTTGTTACTCATTTAGGAACTACTTTAGGCCAGTGCTGCGCGGTTGTTACAGCAAGAATTGTGGGAGTGGTTTGTGGCTGACCCTGAGGTCTGTTTCTGTTTCCATCCCCTGGAATTATGTAATGTGGAAGCTGTAGGGCAGTGTTATATTAAGAGCAGTTTTATCAGGTAGGTAGGAACTTTAACCCTGCAGATGCTAAAACCTGGCAGTTATCTGTGGCCCTTTGCAGGACTTACCACCCTTGTCCTGTGGTGATTAGTTAGGGTGATGGGCTGGAACAGGGAAGCAGCTGTGTTGTTTGCTAATAGTTGCTAGCACAATTCTGCCAGAAACTTCCTGGCAAAGTTTTAAATATTCCTGTTTTCAGCATGCTTCATGGCTCTTGGCAGAGAGCATAACTTGGAAATACTTTCTGAAACCCTGCCCGTGTGCAGTTTACGGAAGGATTAGTGCAGGAGAGCAATCTTTACTGCCATTGAAAATATAACTTCACTCGCCCCTACATGAGATGGTTGCCAGGTGAAAGAAGCTGTCAAAAAGCTCTTCTCAGCTTTGGAAGAAAGACTCCTTCCTACAGATGAATATGTTAATATTTGGATTTTTAAAAATGACTTACCTAGTCTGTATTTCTTTGTCAGGCCAGGGACAGTAGGGCAGAGGAGGTGACAGTGTGCTGATAGGCAGGTGCTGAGCCGGAAAGCCCGTCTGAGTGACGTAAGGCAGGCTGCACTGTGCACGGGTGAGAGGCCGTGAGCTTCGGTGTGAAGACCTGGCATGCATATATGCTTCCCAAGAGGGAGAGAGGAACTGTAATAAGGTTGAAAGGCAATAGTAACCTTCCCTAAGACAAAGCCTACAGTCACGTGAGATGTAAATTAAGTGCTTGGTTTGTATGTGAAAAAATAGCCTTACTAAATAAGTAAGATGGACTCAGTAAACATTAATAGCACTGAGATTTTTAGCTGCATGATTCTTTTGCAAGAAAACCTCCTGCGAACTCTTCCATATGCTGTGGAAATAACCTCAGCTCTGCCTTAGAGCTGTACATTTAAGCCCCAGCCCCATCCCGCCTGTGACCAGCTGTCTTGCCTCCCCTCCAGTGGTCTCCGCGCTGAACAAGGCCTGGTGTGTGAGCTGCTTTGCCTGCTCCACTTGCAACACTAAGCTGACACTCAAGTAAGTCCACTGTCGGGTCCAGTGTGAGCCCTGGGAGCTTCTAGAGTTTTTGAAGAGAATTCTTTGGTTCCCTCTGTCTCCTTTCTGTTGAAGCTTCTGAGGGCAAAGGCTCTTCCTTTAACTGTTCCATGTTTTCTCCTATTCCTTCTTTGTCCTGCTCAAAGGGATAAGTTTGTTGAAATTGACCTAAAACCAGTCTGCAAACACTGTTATGAGAAAATGCCAGAAGAATTTAAGAGGCGACTTGCCAAACGGGAGAGAGAAGCAAAGGATAAGGACAAGCAGAAAAAGAAAAAGCCAGTGTGTCTGTGAACCTCTCTGTCCCTCGTCCTCGTCTCTGTCTTCTTGGGTCAGTCCTGCAGAACGTGTCCTGGCTCTGTTTCTGTCTTTGGCTTTTCTTGGTTCCTTTTGACATGTATTTGTAGCTTATTAGAGATTGAAATACAAGTATTTATCCTGAGTAAAGTCGGTCCTTTTGCATAATTATTAAAAGTATAAAGCTTAAGCTAACACAGGTCGCACTTAACAGTGGCTTGTACTTCATGTATTTCCCTCAATCTGCAGGCTCCCTTGTCTCTTTTTTAAAATCACTATATGGTGTAGATTTTTTTTAAGTGAATCCAAAGGGAAGAACTCCAGTTTCCTAATAGATACTGGGAAAAGTTTTAAAGTAGTGTTGCCTAATAATTACAGCTTTCAAAATCCTGGTTTTTGGTTTCTTTGCCTAAAATAATGAAATTGTGCAATTCCAAGTGTCTCATGTTCTAAGTACTGTATTAAAGTGAATCCTTTACAGTTAGATAGGTTGTTCCCTATCTAATCAAAAACCATCTGCTGAACATACAAGATACCTCCTATCTCTGCTGTATGTAGGGGTGCTTTCACATGACGCCCATATGCATCGTGATGTTTTCAAATTCTATTTCATTCCTGATTTTTGTGGGAAGTAATTCAATCTTTGAAGTCTTTTGAATGGCTGGGATGATTGACCCATTTTTCCTTCCTGGTTACCATTGTTTTCTAGCTCGACAACTTCTTTATTGTTCAGCTTTCATGTACCCTTCTATAAAAATATACTAAAATCCAAATATAAAATTAAAACAATGAAAGTTTTGCTTAGCAGTATCTCTGAAAGCAGTGATAATTTATTTGCTTCATCAAAAAAAGGCAGTTTTAATAACTTTTATTCTCAGATGACTTTGGGAGACTTTTAACTCAATGGGTACTATTTAAATCAAACTGAAAATTGAAATCTAATTATCATTTGAGTTACTATCAGCATTAGGATCTCTGAAAAAACAGAAAATAATTCCCATCTGGTGCTTTTAAAAAAAGGAATTTTTGTTTTAAGTATTTGGTTAGGAATTAACATTGTTCTTTAAAATTATATGAGCAGATGTAATCATTTGTTATAGTCAACAGTGTACCACTAGACTTGCTCCACAAATACTTCCTAAATGTAATTTTAGAGAAAACAATCAAGTTAAAAAGTTGTACATTTACTCAATTCACAATTAAGGGCCCTAAATTTCAGCAGTCATAACTTGTGATTACCTATTGGAAATGCATTACAGATAGTTAGGAGGCCAGCTGGAAACTTGTCTTCTCCAGAACTGTTTTACAAATAAATTGATAATGTGTATTGCTCTAGCTTTCACAAGGAGTTGAGTTCTCCATACATCTGCCAAACACAAATGTAACCACAGGCGATCTGGCTCACCTGTGTTCTTCAGGAGTGCTTAAAAATCTTCTTTGTATCTCCCCTACCAACCTTTCTATCAGATGACCAACCAAAACAACCCATTATGATTTTAGATTTTTTTTCTTTTGATGATTTTTGTTGTTGTTGGGGGTGGAGGAGCAAGCCATTTTATACCAGGAAAAATCAAACCTCATCGCTACCTATTTTAAAATACTTAGTAAGATCATTTCACCTTCAGTAAGGAGAGGATCATTCAAATTACAGAAATACAGTCTTTGCCTTAAAGAACTATTCTTTAAAGTATTCTTCTAGTTCTTTAAAACATAATTGACTTTACTTACCTGAATTATGTGTACATTAGATTTCCTGTATATATAGCACTGACTAAAATGTAATAGTCTCAATTATACAGATAAAGATTAATTTTATAAGGATGATTTCTTCAAATGATAATGTGACTTTTTTACATCTAGTACAACGACAAGAATTAAGGTTAGAATTAGTTTTCTGCTAACATGAACATAGATGTCATCATATAGTATCTTCATTTGCTTCAATAAAATTACTTCACATTTAGATGTCTGTGTTGTATGCATTTTCACTAATTTCTTTTTTTTATTATTGTTATTATCTTTAGGAATAAATTTGTGGAGTTTGACATGAAACCAGTCTGTAAGAAGTGCTATGAGAAATTTCCATTGGAGCTGAAGAAAAGACTTAAGAAACTAGCTGAGACCTTAGGAAGGAAATAATTTCCTTTATTTTATTTTTTCTCTTCTATGCAAAGATAAGAGATTACCAGCATTACTTGATTTGATCCACCTTTGTTTAAGGCTGTACCTCAAAAGAGTTGAGAGTGAAGAGGACCTATATGAATGGTTTTTATGTCCTTTTCCTCCTCAAAAAAGAAAAACAATTTATAATCACATATGAAATCAAGATTTGCCTTTGTTAATAACCTTTATCAATTTGTTGAGATGTAGACTAAAAAAGCAAAAACACATGGTTAAATGTTAAATTTTAATTAAGGCCCCAAAAATTAATATAACGTTTAAAAATGAAAGAAAAGAGCTTTTACTGACTCAAATTAAAAAATATAAACATTATCTCACTTTGTACTCAACAGAAAATTCTAGCTGCTGTTGGGAAGGATATAGGGAAGAAAAATAACCAACCATGAAAAACAAATTTTACAGAATCTTAATATGTTAATCAGACTAATAGCAGTTAAATGGATACACACATTACTAAGGAAACAAGTGTATTCAGAACTACTTGATTTTGTTTGTTTTTTATTAAATACAGCAATTGCTTTGCTTAGTTTTATATTTTGTTCTCCTTCTGAACTTCTTTCATACAATTAACCACAGTAGTTCTAGCTCGCTAATGGTATGACTTTAAACTTTGTGCAAAAAAAAATTTATACTAGTTATTTGAAAATACAGTATACTTTACAATATTGGAAAAATGAAGTATTTTTAATGTATTACAGCAATTATGCTTCTCAGCTTAAGGTCAAAGATATAGTCTTACAATAGGACATGAAATTAAATTTTATGTAGCTTGTAATATATCACTTTAAAAAATGAATGTATACATATTGATTATATTGTCTTTATAATCATGTTAACATTTATGATTCATACATAGCCAACTTGCCTTGCCTTAGAAAAAGATATGCTTTAATCATGAATTCTAGCTGTTTCCTAGAGTACCAAATAAACATTAGTGTAGTAACTGAGAATTATAAACCCAAACTCATTTATCACAGCTATGATAGTATTTTTAAAAAACTTTTTCTTTTACTGAGAAACACATTGTGTCATCTTATTAGAAGAGAATGATGCTAATAGGTATTTTTCAAGTTTTTTTTCAAATCTCATAATAAATTGAGTTTTATTTATTTTAAGTAGGAGGTATAAATTACACTTAGTTTGGAAGAGGGATGTTTAAATGTCAGTTTTAGATGAAAAGTAGTGAATTATTCTACTTTATCAAAATTTTATCCTGAAGTTTCTGGACTATTACTTCTCAATAAACTTGTGTAAAGAAAATTTTTTCACATTTTTTAAAATGTTGCTGCTGCTGTGTTATCACTTAAAAGAGAGTTGCCAAGATGGACATCTAGGGGAAAATGACTGATTTTTCCAAAAATAGTTGAAGTACCGTTTTGCTGTTAAAAAAAAAAATCTCAGGATGGTACCACTGTACCATTAAATATTTGTATGCATGTGTTTTTAAGTTTATGCCTGTCCTTTACAGAGCAAACTTCTTTTGGTTTTCAAATAATTTATATCCAACTACTTTATTATTTAGTGTTCTTTTACAGTTCTAAGAATTATAAATTATTGAAAATCATCAAAATATATAGTGTAAGACAGTAAGTGCTCAGAAGTTTAAACCAATCTTCTCATTTGACAGCAGGAATCAAAGTCCCTTCGGTGTGCCTTTGTCAACTAAAATAATGACCAGCAAAAAACCTTGAAAGTACTTATTAATATTATGCTATGGATACAGGCATAGTACAGGACTGACAGCATATCGTCTTGATGCTAAATTCTTGCTTCTTAAATACCCCTACAACAGAAATATGGAGCAGAAAAGCTAATTCATCCACATTCTTAGTCACCTTGACAACAGCGGTATTCTTGAGTCCCCACAGCCTGACTCAGCTTTGTTTCTGCCTCTCCTGCAGACAGGGGCCCGCTGCTGTCTTTGCTCACTCCTTTCTTCAAATAGGAGTATCTCCTGCAAGTTCAGCGGGGGTTAAGCCTTGCATTTTTTCTTCCTTGGAGCCCTTACCTGTGGGAAGGGAGGAAGAAGTGGAAAAGCTCTAAGTGGATTAGAAAACAAACATGGCTTAGTTCATAATGTTGTTCGTGGAGCTTTGCCTGACTGTGGAAAACCTCAGGCTAGTAAATAAGTATCTTTGCTTAAATAATTCATTGTTCTTACTGAATTCCTAAGTGCTCTTTTCTTACCAAACCTAATATTAATTGGTGAATAATCTGGGTACAAGTAAAACATTCTTTGGATCATGTTCAAAGTCTTACTAACATTGTACCTGAAATGATAGGTCACTTTGCGGCACTTACTTGCCAAAATACCATTTCTAAGTTAAGGAAATTTTGAGGTAGGCTTACAGCATCCTTGTTGTATTTCATTTTAGATTGTAAGCTCAATGGCAGGGACACTATATCAATAATTGTTTTTATATAGCAACCACTGCGGTATACTCGGTGCATAATAAATGTACATAACAATAATAACCTGTTGTGAATTAATTTGAATGACTGAAGCACAGAACCATGAAAAGACAGATGTTTAAGAAAGCTGTTTTGGAAATAAGCTTCAGTGCCCACTGAGGGATGAAGAGAGAAAATATATATAATATACACTCTGCCATAAAAAAGAATAAAGTCTTGCCATTTGTGACCACATGAATGGGCCATGAGGACACTATGCTGAGTGAGAGAAGTCAGAGAAGGACAAATACCATATGATCTCACTTAGATGTGGAATCTTTAAAAAAATCTAAAAAAAAGGGGCCTCATAAACGCAGAGAAAGATTGATTGGTGTGGTTCCTAGAGGCTGGGGCTAGAAGGGGTGGGTGAGATGGGTGGAGGGAATCAGAAGGTACAAACTTCATGTATTAATCAGCGTGGTGACTAAAGTTAATACCATGCTGTGTTATTTCAAAAGTTGCCAACTTTCAAAGTTGCTAACAAAGTAGATCTTAAAAGTTCGCATCACAAAGAAATTTGTAACTGTGGTGATGATGGATGTTAACAGAAGTGGTCTTTTTACCACAAATGCAAGTATCCTATCATGCTGTTTATCTAAAATTAATGTCCTGTCAGTTACATCTCAATTTTTTTTTAAGTTACACTTTTTTAATGCTTTTTAAAACTTACTATAGTTTTGCGAGGAACACAATTTATTTGATACAACGACTTAGTAAATCCATGTAAAAATATCAAAGATTCTCTATCCGAAGTTCGCAGCGCAGTTCCCCATACCGCCTTGTTGAGCCCCTACGGCAGGGGAGTCACCTGGCGGCGGGAAGGGTGCCTGGAAAGCGGCCTCTCCTCAGTTCGGGCCCAGAAAGTTCCCGGGGCTGCGGGCTGGGGGCGCCCCGGGGCCTCGGTCCAGCTCCAGGCGGCGTATCCGCGGGGCCGGGCGGCCTGGGCTATGGAGGCCCTGCCCCCGGGAAGAGGCCCGCTCGCTGCTGGGAGGAATTGCCCCCTGGTGTTGAAGTCCCCCCTGACTTCCCCAAACGAAGCGAGTTACCTCGCCGCCTGGGTCCCCGCCGGCCGCTGCCCGGGCGCCCTGCGGCCAGCTGGTCCCCCCCGCCGAGGGAGGCGGGGGACTGTCGCCCTCGCCCCCGCGGTGCCCTGCGATGCGGCGGGCAGGGCCGGCACCCCGGCACCGGACGCCGGCGGGCCACAGAGCTATTCATCATTAAAGCTAACGACCACAGCCGCGGCTTGCTTTCTACGAACACAAGTATCATTCCTTCCTTGCTTAAAAAATTTACCTGGGAAATGCTTGTAATAAATATTGGGAGCGGGATCCAAAAATCTTGTACAGGATCATCATAAATAGTTGCAAAGAGGCACTTGAGAGTTTTTTTTTTATTTCAGGGGAGAAGGGGAACATCTTTTCAGGTAGTGTTTTTTGGTTTGCGAAAACTAATATGCTATCGTAATGGGAAATGCTATCTTTATTTTTTTAATGTTTAAGGTGGGTTAAATGTGTATGTTACGATATTATTTACATAGTTTCTGTTGTTTTGGCAAATTTTCCTCCGTCAGTGGAGCCATGGTGACCTAAAAGCTGCTCCTGTGTAAATCACAAATTCTTAGTTGAGTTGAAAGGAAAGCTTTGTTCCACGTGTGCTCCACAAACTGTACTGTGATCGCCAAACCTTAAAACCTTGGTTGGTGAATCATGAGTTCTGTACCTCAGATACACGCCGCTCCTCACATTCTGAATTTCCAGTGAACACAGGGCAGCCCAAGTGAGCTGCCTACTGCATCGGACCTGGCTTGCCAGAAACTCGACTTCTCCACTGCAGCAGAAAGAGAAAAGGTAGTTTCTCCTCATTTCTAAAACCTTGGGATTTTCTGCTTCACCTTCTAATCTTGCAGTCATATTAGAATTTTGATGCCACAAGATCAAGTAGGAGGCTTTCCACTTAATGACTGTCACTAATCTTCAGTGCAAGGGAAAGTGGCTTCTTAAATCTCAAATTGTACCAAGCAGGCGACTGGTTCACATTCACTACTAGAAACATCAGTAGTATTTATATAGTCCAAGAAGAGGATCTCAATCCCAACAGTAAGAGTCAAGTGTCATGAAGGGAGCAGCTCCTTTAAGGACGTTCCTTCGCTGCACCTCTCTAGCTGCATCTCTACATATCAGACCCCAGAGCAGGGTTACACTGGGGCAAGGTATCAACATCTAGAATCACCCCCAAAATCCCACGTTTAGTAGGTATTGTTCTTGAATATCATTCTCTATTTTTGAAATTTGACATGGATATTCCCCTTTCACAAGTTGTAATTTCCTTCAGAGGACAGCTAGGGTCTCTAATTTTGTGTCCATGCAATGAGACCTAAACTATTGGAACCAAGCTTTCTGGCAGCTTTTTCTGCCAGAACATAGGAAAAATCAGGGAATAAAGACCCTAAAAAGACCAAAATGAATTACTAAAGTTCACATTGAAGTTCATATCATCATTCTTGGAAAAATCCCTTGCTTATCACTGGTGTAGATGATCCACAGTTCTAACAAGCTTTGTGAGTTTCCTGTCCCAGTTGAGAGACAAGTGTGGAGAAGGAGACAAATGGTAGGCAAATGCCAGGAGCCTTTGTTGAATGTCAACTTCTGTCAGACGGTGTACTGAAAAATATACAGTACAACAGCTATACAGTCCTTGGAAGCTCACAGTTACCAGGGGTCACAAAAATGCATCAGAATATATTGTGATAAGAACCAACATGAGAAATATGAGTAGGATGAAGAGATTGCTCAAAGGAGTCTAGAAAGATTTTCCCACAGGCAATGATAGCTGACCTGGGGTTTGAAAGACACTGAAAGCTGTCCAGAACAGTGGGGAGGAGCTCTCTAAGGCAAAGAGAACAAAACAACCTGTACAAAGAGCCTGGTGAGAATTTCCATTGAGTTGGGCCCCAAGAGCGAAGCTGAAGGAGGGAAATGTCCAGTTGGAGAAGTCGTCCCAAGAGGGCAAAACCACCCACGTTGCTCTTCTGTGCTGACCTTCTCTTGGCCCCACATGTGAAGTGCATGTGACAAATCAGAAACTCTATAGAAGCCAAGATATATCTGAAATAAGGTCAATTGAGCCATTACAGATGCAGCCAGAAAAGGACTGAGTCCCGGGACAGGAAGTTTCTGCTTCACCAGTAGCACAGGAACAACTTGTCCACAAGACTCAAAAACGGAACATTTGTAAAAGGTCCCAAGGAAAGAAAGCTCTTTCTATAGCTAGAGATAAGGCAGGTGGGCTACTGCAAAGCAGGGAAAGTCAGCGCATAGGTGGCTGGTCCACAGAGAAGGCTCTCAGATTGGTTGGTGATGGTCCGGCTTGATTCACAAGCAACAGGGATGTGGTGGCAGATGATTGCTGAGATGACTTCATCCAGGAATGTGGAGTGTTTGGTTGCCTGCAGCTTGCAGCTATTGACTGATTACAGTCCCTTCTCTATCCTCCCCCATTCTTCAGCCCTTATATCACTTAAAGTCATCTCAGAATTTTTCTTTAGCATTTCCCCCTTTTCATCAAGATATTTCATAGAAATTATTGCTAATGAACACATGTTGTGAATTTAAGTATGTGTAAAATGGCCCTTTTATGTTCAGGGTGTGGTCCCACATTGCTAAGAAGGCTCCTTCCTGAAAGTCGTGTCCCACAGAGGAAGGAAACAATATTGAATGAGCTGAGATGTCCCGGCCATTAGTGGCAAAGGAAGGTGGGAAGGGGGAGGGGAGAGAACCATCAGCCAACATTTGTCAAGGATCTTCAAATTTTGACCTTCAAAGAGTGTCTTCTGTCAAGGTTAATAGGTGGCTAATTCAATCTGTCCAGGAAACATAATGTTGGCTGGGCTTTGGTTCCTAGACTTACATAACTGGGGAGAACAAGCATAAAGTTTAAGTGAAATAACACCAGGAAAAATTAAAAGTAGGACAACAAATATAATCTGAAAGGTGGTTTTAATCCATGAATCTCAGGCCTTGAACCATCATTTTAACATCTCTCTTAAATGGGGTTTGGATGACTCAGGGCCCTTATTTTTGTAATACCAACAGGCAATTAAACAAATTCTAAAAATGTTGTGATCGTGCTTGGGCTGTAGATTTCTGTAGGCTGACTGCCCATCTTTAGTGTCATCAACAACAGGAAAGGAAAGAAGGAATAGAGATTGGGGTGACTTTGAGCCTCAGCATATACAGGCCTGGTCCAGACTCTGCAGCAGACAGCTTCCAGCTGCCAGCAGCTCCTCCTGCTAGTCGGGCAGTCTGAGATCAGAGACGGGAATGCTGGACCATTCGGGTGGCTCAGCTTTTTTTAGGTAGGAAACGGATCCAGGAATCAGTTCCCTGGGAGATTGGCCTCACAGGGATTCAAAAGTAGGACCTGGAACAGATATTTATAGCAGAGTTGTTAAGAACTTTTGTGCAGATGTTTTTATCAATACACAAAATGTCCAGGTTAGATTCTGTGGGGTGGAGAGTCATTTTCCTTGTTTCTATAAAAATACTACTTTACTAAAAAGTGATTGATATGAACAGCTTTAATAAGCTCTTGGCAGTAAGGATTCCCCCTTCTATAACTAAAGAGTCAAAGGCCACCAGGGAAAGATGCATAGGTCTTCCTGTTGTGATTTCAAAAGGGGAAAGCTTATGTTTTCCAAAGTCAGTGGATCTCAGATTCAAAGGAACTACAGGTAAGTTTTTTTTTTTATTTTTATTTTTTATTTTGGTATCATTAATCTACAATTACATGAAGAACATTATGTTCACTAGGCTCCCCCCTTCACCAAGTCCCCCACACATACCCCTTCACAGTCACTGTCCATCTGTGGAGTAAGATGTTGTAAAATCACTAATTGTCTTCTCTGTGTTGCACAGCCCTCCGCATGCCCCCCACGCACTATACATGCTAATCGTAATGCCCCCTTTCTTTTTCCTCGCCCTTATCCCTCCCTTCCCACCCATCCTCCCCAGTCCCTTTCCCTT